CCTCCCAAGCAGCAGGCCCAAGCCGCAGAAATGCGGCCGCCCGGCCCCGCCGGGGCCTGGGGGTGGGGCCGCCTGCCAGTGTTTTTCCAGTTCCCCCGGTAGCTCCGGGCCGCATTTAGAAGCCGGGGAAACTGGGCCGAGGCCAGTGCCAGGGCACCAGAGGCCCCGGCTGCCCGCGGAGCTCTGCCAGGCGTCAGGCCAAGCCGGGGCGGGGCGAGGACACCTCAGCCCACAGTGTCGTCCCAGAAAAGACCTTGCCACCAGACGCAGCTCTGGACGTCTTAACAAATAAATCTCATTTCTAGAAACCTTGAGCGCCTACTAAGTGCCCAGCAGGCCCGCAGCAGGCGCTGGGAAGGGGACGCTCATTCCGACGCGGCCCCTGCCCGCACGAAGCTCTCGGTTTAGCTCAGGAGATAGACGAGCACACGGTGAGTCATCCCGGGCCTGGTGTGAGCGCAAGGACTGAGGTTTAAACAAAGGGCACCTAGAACAGAGAGCTGAATTCTGATTTGAGAGGAAACCAGGCCAGGAAGTTTTTCCGAGAGTTGGCACTTAAAGCCGAGAGGTGAAAGATGAGTTCAACAGGAAGAGTTAGGAATAGGAAGTTGAGGAAAAACGCAGAGATAGTAAATACAAGTATATAAATCCAGTTTGGAGAAATTTGAGAAAGTCTGCCGTGCTTGCTGTATTTAAATTTTTAAATATTAAAATTGGGTTAGACGTCCAAAAAAGGGGGCTGTTACCTGCTTCTGTTCTTGGCTTACTGCAGTATAGCCCAAGGGTTAGAAGCACAATCTGGCTCCAGGTTGCGACGTTCTCCGAGGCCATACTTCCCGGGTTTGCATCCTGGCTTCCCACTTTTAGGTTTTTGAGAACAAGGCACATTATTTAACTTCTCTGTGCCTCACTTTTTTTTTTTTTTAACTCTGTGTCTCATTTGTAACTTAGGACTCAGAAGGTAGTATTGCATGGGTTGTGAGGATGAAATGAGAAAATGCACTTAAAACATTTAGTATGGTGCTTGACACAGAAGCCGTCAATGTATGTCAGCCATTATGACTCGTACACAACCACACTGAGGAATGTTCACCAGACAAGAAAGCCAACCCCAGCCTCTGCCAGTGGTTTCAGGATCTGCTTGTAAATACACAGGTCCCATGTGAAAAGACTACTGCTTCTTCCTTAGTTTCTGAATTTCATGCATTTATTCAGTAATTATTGAATTGGGCACTATGGGAATAAAGAGAGAAGAAAGGCATGATCTCTGTAGATGTAAACCTCACAGTCTGGTAGGCAAGACAGGTTTTAAAAAAAAAAGAATTATTCTGTGTTAACTACCACAAAAGAGGAGTAGTGTAGAGTGGTGGTACAAAAGAAAGTTATACGTCATAACAGATAACTTTTTGGTCCTCCAAATTATGATTAACCTTTGTTACCATAGAAATTACTGGCATAGTAAATAACTAGTTGAATTCCACCAAGAAAAGTTATTTTCAAATGATTAAATTCCAAACGAATCATTTTACAATACTAATAGCTTCTGAATGAACAGTCACTTTCATGTGCTCAAGGAACTGGATTGGGAGTCAGAAAATCCAGGACCTAGTTCCAAATCGGCCCTGTGAGATCCTGTGTCCCTGCAAGTCTCCCTGTGTCTCTGGACTTGACTTTACTTACCAGCAAAGTGAGAAGGTTAGACTGGAAGTCTCTGAAGTCCTTTCAACTACTGCACAGTCTGATTATCCTCAGCATGCTTCTGTATGCCTTTACAGCTTGACACAGGGCTATAACAACCTACATCAAGCATATTTCAGAACTTTCAGCCAAGATCCTAGATGATTTTACAGCCAAGTAAGATGTGGAAATTGAGACCTGAAGATTGGGCATTGTAGTTCACTGTTACAAGAAAATAGGCCACACATTAGATCCTTGGAGACCTGCCACAATAGTGACAATCATGTCTACTGCGTGGCACATCAAAGGAAGACTGCATCTGACAGGATTTGCTCACATATCTGCTACTGACACCCCATCCTTTGCTGTGATATCAGAGCAGCAAGAGTTAAAAATAATACCACCACTTTCCTTCTTCATCCTAAAAAATTTCTCCCTACCCTTTTCACTTGCCCACTTCTCTTCTGAAAAGAGAATATGATCTGCTGGTTATCAGGACTTTCTCCAGTTGGAAAACATATTTCCCAAACTGGCTAGAGTTTTTCCACTAGTGCATTTACTGAATTAGGTAAAC